GCAAATAATGTAGATTCCTGAGACATTCGCCGCCGTAACCTACTTTTTTTTTGCGCTAAACTGCAATCAGTCCTAAACTATAAGCAGATTTGTTCCATGCAGTTTTAACATGTTCAAGGAGCTCCCCAGCAGGATACTCCGCATTCACTATCTGCCACCAAGTATATAACTATATCGTGGCGTTTCAGTCGTTTAGTGTATGTAGCTGATGGTTGTCAACTGATTTGGGTGATTTTCCAGTCGCGTTTTATATTTATTCCCTGTCAGCTTTAGCTCCTCCCTAACAGTTATCATGCTCAGAGCTTAGAGCCGTAACCTACTTAAACTCAAATAATTTTAATAAGGTGCACGATACCACTAGTTAACCCTTTCAGACCTGGCGTCCACAATTGTAGACATAAAATATAAATCAAAATTATAAACTTAACTCTGTACATTTGAAACTTAAAACGGTTGTCTTCATTTGTTCAATTAATAAACTACCTAATTTAGTACTTTTAACACCATCTCTCGTTGTATAATATCACTAATTGACAAGTTTCAACCAGTGCCCGAGCGTGATTTGAACTGTGCAGGTGAGCTCTTTATTTTATTTTGAAAAAATATGAAATAGTAACACATATTTTCTGCTGTAATAATACTATCGTGTATTTATTATTACACATGGAACATACAATTTGTGTATTTTGTGTTGTCTTTGTATTACTAATCTCGAGTTTTAGATTTGTACTCAAATGATCCCATCAGGAGGCAACTGAGCATTTTGAAATTGTTCCAAGTGATAACGGTTTTATTATAAATTCTTTTTTTTTTTCAACTTTTTTATTGTTCAAAAATACATTTATGTTAGAAATAATATAATATATTTATGTTATGTATTAAATAATTATGTAAATCATTTTTTTTTATTTCCAGATAATAATACTGTCAAAATGTTCTCACCAGAATAATTAATATAAAAAAAAGTTCAAACTATATAACTATAAATTATGTATTAACTTACTGTCAAAAGACCAAAGTTTAGCATACAAAAGCTTTTATACTGATATCATGCTTGGTTATTTTTAAATAAAATGTTAAAGTCGTAAGAGCCTTAATATACCGAAGTAGGGGGCACTTACCTTATTTCTTCACATATTGCAAATAATGTAGATTCCTGAGACATTCGCCGCCGTAACCTACTTTTTGTGCGCTCATCTGCAATCAGTCCTAAACCATAAGCAGATTTGTCCCATGCAGTTTTAACATGTTCAAGGAGCTCCCCAGCAGGATACTCCGCATTCACTATCTGCCACCAAGTATATATATCGTAGCGTTTCAGTCGTTTAGTGTAGCTGATGGTTGTCAACTGATTTGGGTGATTTTCCAGTCGCGTTTTATATTTATTCCCTGTCAGCTTTAGCTCCTCCCTAACAGTTATCATGCTCAGAGCTTAGAGCCGTAACCTACTTAAACTCAAATAATTTTAATAAGTTGCACGATACCACTAGTTAATGATGATCCTAGGGTCTAAGTCTAAGTCGGGTTGGATAAGCATTTACCTAACTATAAATCATTAATTCTCGAATCCCCATAAAAATTACTATACAAACGGATATTCAAAGTCGCACTCTTAAATGCTTCATTATAATCAAGACGTCCACTGCTGAACATCCTCCCCCAATGTTTTCCAATGTAGCGGCCTCCATCCAGCGCCTTCCTGCTACCTTTATGAGGTCGTCGGTCTACCTTGTGACTCTTATACTTAGGCCCAGAACAGACGGTGAAACGCAACTGCAACGAAACTGCAACTTTCTGATGATTCTCATGAATGAAAGTTTCAGAACTGAAAGTTTCAAACTGGTCGCGTCATGTGTGGTCTCTCAACGGATGCTATGGCAGAAACTATATGCAACTCAAAAGTAACTAGCAGTTGCAGTTTCGTTGCAGTTGCGTTTCACCGTCTGTTCTGGGCCTTAGTGCTTGCTTAATGTATTTTCTGCAGTGTAGTTGCTGTTCTACCTTGCACATGACTAGACACCTCAGTTATATGCCGTAATTACAGATTGCCCACATACGGAAGGAAGAACCGTATAGTCTTTGTGTGTGGGCTCAGAGATGCTTTCAATGGGAAGTACAGCCGTAATGAACGTAAAAAAAGATTTATAAACACTTAAATCGATCTTAATGACGGCCGATGACCGCTTACCGACCGAGAAATCATGAATTAACTCGTTCAGTTCAATGGACTTCGCAAATTTTGTATTATGAAGAGCAATATGGCATCATAAGCCTTAGTCGTTTCTAGGAGCTAAGGCGCTAAACTATTTCAGAGATCTCAACATTATGCTCTAAGCCACTGGAATAAATTATAAACATAGTTTGAACTATTAAAAGGTTGCGGGAAGACCCGGTTGTGAGCAGCACAGGAACGATATATAGCCTGACCAGGAACATAAAAACCCTGGCATAGAGGCGCTTCAATTGCATTTGATAGTGCAACACTGAGTACAGTCGTACATGTGTTAAATTAATAGGCTAAATTTATGTATCAGGATTCAGAATTACGGGCTAATTTGATATTTTCATAAATGAACGAAAAATATTATTAAAGGTAACCTGGTTTAAATAAATTAAATGAAACATCAATCGAGCTAGTAGGATTTATTTTATTATTCATCAATAATCAAATTCAGAACTTGAATATTCAACTGCAATGTCTGCTCATGAACGCTTCAAACTCGGTACCTACTTCTTTCCCAATTCCATAAAATTCAAAACTTAGAAAGTAACAAAAAACTTTAAAATGGGTAGTTGAAACAGACTACAGCTAATTTTCATAGTGGACTGTACTACAATTCATAAGTGTATAGGCATGGCAGAGTTAATAGGTTCAGCTTTCTGAACCAGGGCTTACACGAGTCCAACGAGTCTAAATTGCATTTCTAATGGGAATATAAATATTTTCACTTATTGTTAGAAATAACAAATCAAAATTGTATTATACTAGACTCACATTATTTCTTATGAATATTTCAGGTAAGTAATATCGACAATTTCACATAATTATTTTATTCTAAATTTTTATTATAGTTTTTAAATTTATTAAATCCTTAATCATTATTAAAATAGCCTAACTGGAAGCATAAAACCTTATNTGAAGTTTTTAGTTACTGTTGCCATTAAAAGAAATTAGTACCATTAGTTTTCCACAACATGGCGAGGGTTTTTATGTTCTTGGTCAGGCTATACCTACCTATGTGGAAACTGGAAATCCTTGGGACATGACTTTGTGCAGCAGCAAAAGTAAAAAAAAAACACCATTGATCTTCTTAAAAAATTAACAACCTAACATCGAGTTGTTTTAAATGAAAAAAGTTGAGACTAATGAGCACAAACAAACATGTTTTGGCACTCCAAAAAGAATGATGTAAGTGAGCACTTAACCCCGCGGGCGATTGTAAGTAGGCTGATTTATTTACGATACTTTTGACAGCAGATTTGTGCTGATGAAGTTTGGCAGCGTTAGAAAGTGCTAATTAGCAAAACAAATAAGAGTAAAATTAAAATGTTTATGAAGTTCTGTTCTAAAGACCTACCTCACTGTGGTTTAGTTTACGTGAGTATGGTTTTGGTCACGATCCTAACTTTTTAGGAATTAATTACGTAACAGATTGAGGCTTTAGTTAGAGGCTGATAAGCATCTGATATGGCTCAATCGGACTGAGACGGCTCAATGCATAGTACCCCAAACTTTTTGTCTAGAGACTTTGGTTCTCCTAGACCAGTGGTTCTTAACCGGTGGTCGGCGGACCACTGGGTGGTCCCTGGAGGCATTCCAAGTGGTCCACGAAGACATCGTAGTAAACAAGTGACGTGACGTGACGTGATGAGTCGAGTCAACACATCGCAAACGGCGTACAGTGGGCGAGAAATCGACCTCCCCTTTCATAGGATTTTGAAAAAAAAAATCTAAGTGGTCCCTGACAAGACAGAAATTTGGTAAAATTGTCCCTCGTGACTTAAAGGTTAAGAACCACTGTCCTAGACAATAATATTACCTACTATTCACACTTCAGAATCCAGTCCGCTGGACCACGCCATTGCTTGCAGCATTGTTAAACGTTCGCTATTACCTAATAATTAAATCAAACTGTATAGGTCGGTATGTCCATGCTCTAATCTAACCGAATTGGAAAAAGTTCAAAGCACATAGTAATCTTTTTTCATACTCAAAAACATAGAACATTGTATGCACACCGCGGATTCGAACCTCGCTATAACACAACTGGACATAGGACACAGTAGGCCACCGATCAATCCAAGTAGAAAATTCAACCAATCGGAAAATCATTGGTATAGGCGTATGTTCAGCAGTGGACGTCTTATGGCTGAAATGATGATGATACGAATCGAACTCGAAGAAGTTTGGGAATTGCTGAAAGAAGAATCTATAATACGCACATTCACCTATTAATCTTTGGTCCAGTCAACACGGTGCCGCGGTGGTCTTCTTTGCTAGACAACAACATGGCGAATGGATGATTAGACCCGACGTCCGCCGGATTGTGTTATGCAATACGTTAGAAAGTGCGCACGCGCAGCGCGGGAACGCGGCAGTTGGCGGCAAGTGCTGCGAAGTGAAATACAGGGTGTTAGGGACATGTTGGCAAAAATATAGCGACAAATAGCCCAATGGTGTCGGTGTCGGACTGAATCGAGATCCGCGGGTTCGAACCCCGCCGCGCCATCGTTGCACCCACTCGTCGGAACACAAGTATTATTTTCGCTACCACGAGGAGTTAACGGGGCATTAGTCAATAAGCAAATTGTATGCACTTTTGTATTTGTATGCACAAATAACTAGATTCCAAATAGGATTTCACACGGCTGAAGCCGCGAGCTAAAGCTAATGAATCCTTACACCGCAGAATCGAGAATCGAGTGAGTATAGATAATATAGAGCCTCATCGAAAAAGTTTGACGGTACCTTCGCAATGACATTGACAATCACTGTCAAAACTCGATTTCACCAAAATATTTTCGTGAAAATAGAAAATACGCAGGTGATCGATTTACTGTGTTTAATTTAATTTTCCCATCAAAATGGATGTATCCAAAGTGGAAAAAAGCAAGATTCTTGCTCCCAACATGGCCGTGAACGCTGTTTTGGTCCCAAGTCAGGAATTGCCAGCTGAAACGCCTATTGTGTCTGGTTACGATTGGGAAAATGGGACCGATTACAACAAAATCCTAGATAGCTACTCCAGATCTGGTTTCCAAGCCACGAGCTTCGGAAAAGCTATTGCTGAGATCAACAAAATGCTGAAATGTCGGTCCATTGCTTTGACGGAAGAAACGGGCGATCCGTACGAAGAAGACTNAATAGTTTAATTAATATTTAATTAATAGTCTAATTAGCAAAACAAATAAGAGTAAAATTAAAATGTTAATGAAGTTCTGTTGTAAAGGCCTACCTCACTGTGGTTTAGTTTACGTGAGTACTTAAGGTTTTGGTCACGATCCCAACTTTTTATTAACTAATTACGTAACAGATTGAGGCTTTAGTTAGAGGCCGATAAGCGTCTGACATGGCTCAATCGGACTGACGGCTCAACGCAGAGAATCTCAACCTTTTTGTCTAATAGACTTGTCTAGCCACTTGGTTCCTAGATAAATTATTTGCTCCTCAGGATCCAGTCTAGGGAAATGGTGAATTATTGTTCAACTTCCAAGTTATGGTAAGTAAGTAAAGCCACGATAGCCGAATGGTGAAGGGGTGAGCTCACTCGTGATACAAACATATTTAGCTGAGTACGAGGGGCTAACAGGACTATTAGTAATTTGAGTAATAACAAATTACTAATAAACTTTATAAAAAAAAATTAAACATTGTACCTACCTACACAGAAACTTAAAACTAAGTAGGTAACTTAGGTTTGTGGTCATGGTCGCATAATCGAACCTAGATCCTCGCTCTCTCACCAGTCACCACTAGACATTAGACCCAGACGTGCCTAGACCTTCAATTTTGCCCATGCTAGGTGTCGAACAATCTGACGAACATTGGGGGAGGACGCCTATGTTCCGTAGTGGACGGAACGTCAAATGATGATGATGGGAATCGAACTCGAAAAATGTTTGGGTACTGCTGACCGATAAGAAGAATCTAATACGCACATTCACCTATTAATCTTTGGTCCAGTCAACACGGTGGTCTCCTTTGCTAGACAACAACATGGCGTATGGATGATTAGACCCGACGTCCGCCGGATTGTGTTATGCAATGCGTTAGAAAGTGCGCACGCGCAGTGCGGGAACGCGGCAGTTGGCGGTTGGCGGCAAGTGCTGCGAAGTGAAATACAGGGTGTTAGGGACATGTTGACAAAAATAAAGCGACAAGCGACATGGTGTCGGTGTCGGACTGACCGAATCGAGAACCCACTCGTAACACAAGTATTATTTTCGCTTGCCACGAGGAGTTAACGGGGCTATTAGTTAATAAGTAATTTGTTTGTATGCACTATTGTACAAATAACCAGAGTCCACTATCCGTGGCAAACCGAGTTTCACACGGCTGAAGCCGCGGGCAAAAGCTAAAGCTAGTGAATCCTTTACACCGCTGAATCGAGATTCGAGTGAGAATAGATAACATAGAGCCTCATCTAAAAAGTTTGACGGTACCGTCGCAATGACATTGACAATCACTGTCAAAACTCGATTTCACCAAAATATTTTCGTGAAAATAGAAAATACGCAGGTGATCGATTTACTGTGTTTAATTTAATTTTCCCATCAAAATGGATGTATCCAAAGTGGAAAAAAGCAAGATTCTTGCTCCCAACATGGCCGTGAATGCTGTTTTGGTCCCAAGTCAGGAATTGCCAGCTGAAACGCCTATTGTGTCTGGTTACGATTGGGAAAATGGGACCGATTACAACAAGATCCTCGATAGCTACTCCAGATCTGGTTTCCAAGCCACGAGCTTCGGGAAAGCGATTGCTGAAATCAACAAAATGCTAAAATGTCGGTCCATTGCTTTGACGGAAGAAACGGGCGATCCGTACGAAGAAGATTCTTTTATCAAGAAGAAAACTAACTGTACTATTTTCTTAGGATACACATCTAACATGATATCGTCAGGGCTTCGCGATACTATAAGGTTTTTAGTGAAAAATAAGCTTGTAGACTGTATTGTGACGACTGCAGGGGGTGTGGAAGAAGATTTTATCAAGTGCTTAGCACCAACTTATGTCGGAGACTTCAATTTAAGCGGAAAAGTGCTCAGAACCCGTGGAATAAACAGGATTGGTAATTTACTAGTGCCAAATGACAATTACTGCAAGTTTGAAGAATGGGTCACACCAATTCTCGATGAAATGCTTGAGGAACAGTCGAAAACAGGCATACTTTGGACACCTTCAAGGATTATAGCTAAATTAGGCGAAAAAATCAACGATGAAAGCTCAGTTTGCTATTGGGCCTGGAAGAACAATATTCCGATCTTCAGTCCGGCACTCACAGACGGATCTTTAGGAGATATGATGTATTTTCACTCGTTTAAGCGGCCTGGCCTTGTTATTGATATATTAAGCGACTTAAGAAGACTGAATACTATGGCTGTTAAAGCCAATAACACTGGTATGATTATATTAGGAGGTGGTGTTATAAAACATCACATTTGTAACGCTAATTTAATGAGAAATGGAGCGGATTTTGCTGTTTATGTGAATACGGCAAGTGAATATGATGGCAGTGACGCTGGGGCGAGGCCTGATGAAGCAGTGTCTTGGGGAAAGATAAGGCCAAACGCTACACCAGTGAAGTTGTATGCCGATGCCACTTTGGTCTTTCCTCTGATTGTAGCCCAAACATTTGCAAAGTATCATTTTAGCAATAAAAAGAATGTGTAACAAAGCAACCTTTTTTTTGTTTACCTTAATAAATTACCAATTATTATCTGTGTTTATAGCTTTTGAGTTACAGTCTCGATAGTTGGGCGATAGTTAGGAATCCTGAGGGCAAAGTCGCAGTGTTGGACTTGGAACTGGATCAAATAAAAAGTTCAGTTAGCGCCATTTCATAGTACTTTTCAGTTAGCTCAGCGGTTCCCAAACTTGTTTTGTCTACTGCCCACTTTGAGAATAAATTCATTTTAGCGCCCACATTTTGTAGTCGAGAGTCGAGTGCTCAGTCGGTGTCTAAGAGACTTCCTAGTAAATGATGCCTCCCAAGCCTCTACACAACGTCCCGATTTTTTTTTTGGGTCTCAGCGCCCACAAGGGAGCGTTATCGCCCACTTTGGGAAAGACCGAGTTAGCTCATGTGATGGCCAGTGACATCTATTGACGGGAAATAATACTACATATTTCAATTTACATAGTTAGCGTCATCTAGTAGACAGTAGTTGTACTTTATCAAAGCAAATAGCACTCTCGTTTAACGCCATCTAGTAGACAGTAGTTGTACTTTTTTGTAGACATTGGAATATGTATTTAGCGCCATCTCTTAGAATGTAAATGTACTAACAAAAAACGTTCAGAAATTGATGTGTTTTAAAAGTATGTGAAATTGCTTATTTCCAAAAGTTTAATTTGTTTAAAAGTGTACTTCAAGTAACGCAAATAAAAGTAAACATAAGATAATACTAAAAAAAACCTTATTCATTACCAAATAGTGGTATTTTTCTTATGTGTGTCGCTGATTAACAGTAAAATCCAATTTATTCTAATTAATTTCTGAACGAAAACGGTGTGAATGAACTGTCAAATATAGCATGAAGTTAGCCACAGTCTGCCCTGCAAAACTGTGCTTGTGTTCGTCTGTGAACGCTAATTTTGAAATGTGTGCTGTCTATGAAAGCCGTTTTGAAGCTCGAAAAAAGCATTTACTTGTCCTTCGATGGTCGCTCCCTTTGTCGGACGCCGGCGTATTTTGTTTACACTACCGTGAATCCTGAATTAATGGACAATGATACCGTGATCTTCCATACGTCTTTCTTAATAACAATGCGAGTAGTAGTGAAGTTTTAATCTGAAAAAAACTGTGTACAGTGAATATTGTTAAAATGTGGTTGTCCCGGGATGTCCTGTTTCTCAGCCTGTTTTTATCAGGTAAGCTTTGCATCCTTGCTATTTTTAGTTTACGGTCATTCGTTGTACTATATTTATGTATTTAGTCGGAATAGGTGCATGAATCGCGGCCGGATTCTTTGATGTTTACATCTTGAATACAAATAAGACGCGAGTTCGTTCGGTTTCGTTAGATGTTTATTAATAAACTGCGTGGAATAACTTACAGCTGGAACGGAATACTTAACGATCTCGATTATGTGCCTACAATATTCATAAATTGAATTTTAGTTGCTTGGAAATAGGCTCTGTAAGACTAGGTTTTCTAATTGACTTGTACCACAGCTTGTTTCTACCAATTATTCAGAATTTCAGAATATTGTTCTATTTAAATAATTAAGTTAAACCTGTATAAACCTGTAGTTAGATTCAAATAAGATTTGTAAATAAATTTTACAATTTGATAAATAAAATTGCATAAAAATAGGTAGGTAGTCTTTAATATCGGTCATACTAATTACACAAAATCAACAATCACAGTAATATTATCACAAATCCTTCGTTATACAATAGCAAAGCAAAGATAGGTAATACAAAAAAATGCAACTTGTATGTCATGTACAAAATACACACTAATGCTTAGGGTGCTGCTTNGGCCAAACAACTATCCGTTTCATCTCTAATCTCGATTATATGCCTACAATATTCATAAATTGAATTTAACTTGCTTTGAAATAGGCTCTGTAAGACTAGGTTTTCTAATTGACTTGTACCACAGCTTGGAAATCTAGTATTTCTTGGGTATATTATGTTAGTTAAATATGTTTTCTTGTACCACAACTTGTACTTAGTATTCAGAATTTCATATTATTGTTTTATTTAATATAATTAATGTTAAACCTGTATAGTTAGATTCAAATAAGATTTGTAAATAAATTTTACAATTTGATAAATAAAATTTCATAAAAATAGGTAGGTAGTCTTTATTATCGGTCATACTGATTACACAAAGTCAACAATCATAGTAATATTATCACAAATCCTTCGTTATACATAAATAGCAAAGCAAAGATAATATAAAAAATGCAACTTGTCACACTAATGCTTAGGGTGCTGCTGNTGCTGCTTTTTATGTGAGTAACAATATTTTAGTTATACCTAATTATTATTTAGTTAATTTATCCTAATTCTGGTAATTTGGATCTCTTTAATATCTCATGTAAATTGGTATTTTGTTGTGAGCATAGTGTAACAGTAAGCATGTTTAAATCAAAATAATTACATACTTACATTCCTACAAACACTAAGATTGAGTTGCACAGACTTACTTTAACCGTAACTTTAACAATAACCGGTGTTTTTTGCAGTTTGTGAGATTTTTGTTGAAGCTAAAGTAAGATGGTGTTATTGATAAACAAAAGCAATTAAACATGTACTTTTTCGTTGACCTTACATTTCTCAGTCAATAATCAAGCTATTAATCAATAATTAGCTCACATACCGGACAGTTTTCACACTCAAAGCATCGTTGAAACACGAACAATGTTATGGTTATACGTAATGACTCATTGAATACAAACTCGATACACTCTGTTCTGAGTAGTGGCACGTTATATTGATTACCTTTAGGCGTTTCCAAGAGGGATGGCAGACTATCCTTTATGACAGCTAATATTGTTTGTAATATTGATTTAACTGCAGTAAAAAAATATTTTAGACGCTTGTTCAAAGTCAAAGTCAAAATTTCTTTATTTGTTTAGACTAATAAATAGTTCTTACAAATCGTCATTTTGTTCTTAAGGAGCCTCTACATGTTTCATAATCTTTTTACCCTACCAGCGCTTCGAGACCAACATTTGGCAAGTGCTGTTCTGGCCATAAACAGAATACTTGACTGTAAGCCTGTGACTCGGCGTTGTTGCTCGTTTATAATCACAGAACAAATCTGTTCATAGTCTTCTGACTGATCGCATGATGGAATAAAGGAGAAAAAAAAACTGCTCTAGATGGACGATTTTGTGATTTAAGGTTTTTTAAGCTACGTCCCTGCTGAACTTAGGCCTCCCCCAATGCTTTCCGTGTTGCCCGGTTGGCAGCGGCCTGCATCCGCCTCCTGCTTTATGGTTCTTTAAATGATTTGACTAAAAAGTTTTCAGTGACACGGAAGGATGACTGAGTCCATAAAATATAAAAAAACGACAAGTAGGAACATAGGTCCTTTCGTTCGTTTCAGCCAAATGACGTCCACTGCTGGACAAAGCCTTTCCCAAGGATTTCTACAACGACCAGTCCTGTGCTGCCCGAATCCCGCGACCTTCACTAGATCGTCGGTCCACCTAGTGTATTTATTTTAAACAGTGAGATATTAATTAAACTTGAATAGGTGTTTCTCTTGTTAGGATGCGAGCGGCACAGGACCGGTGTTTTGTGGAAATCCTTGGGGGAGGCCTTTGTCCAGCAGTGGACGTCTTTCGGCTGAATCGAACGAACGAACGAACGAGGTGTTTTTCAAGATTATATTCTACTATTTCATTACATACAGCTTTTTAAAACTTTTACCTATTCGGCATTCACGATCTTCCCGTTTCATACCAAATTTTTATACGTTTTTTAAGATTAAAGAAGCTTTTTCCGATAAAAGGATCCACGCTAAATTAGTTCGTAACTTCCAAGACACAGTTTAGCAAAAACATCATATTCACTAAAGTTCGTTAGGAATTAGTTTCTTGCGAGTTAAAAAGACCTTGATATAATAGGCGTGAGTACAGTAGGTCCACTTCCTCTGTACCTCCTGAATATCTATGTTAATCCCAAAAAAATCAATAAAAACTCATCTTATTTTTGCAAGTAGCCTTTTAAAAAGCACATACACGTCTCAGTTTTAACCCTACCACTGCTTCGGGACAATAAATGGGCCAGTGTTGAGAAGAAACGCGCAAGAAACTCAGGCACTATTGTAGATCCCTCGCAATCCTTTTCAGTTTATTAAAACAACATACCTACAAAGCCTCCCAAACCCACCACAAAACCTCAGAATTCATAAACAAAACAGAAAAGTAAATGAAATATACAAAATCGAAACGGCACAATTTAGGCAGTACTTATATCGCTAGGAAGGTTGGGACATCCATTGCTTGATAGAGCTTCGCGCGATCTTCGCCAGCCGGCCAGGCGTCGTGATAAAATCTTATCGATGATTTTAGACGACAAATGTATGGGCTTATCGCGTAAAATCGATAAAACGGCGCGACAAAAGCTTATCGCAGCGCGCATCCTAAGCCTACAGTAATTCATGACCTTTTTGACTTAAGTATCTACCGATTTATAACTTGACTGTGGCAACCATTTTAGACCAGGTAGACAGACCCGCCCCCGGCCTACCAGCGGGTATGTAATTATGCCTTATTACATGATTAATGTTGCTAAAATATTTATTAGCTCTTTAGAAGCCGTAAAACTGAAGGGACGCGCAGAAAAAATAATTAAATATATCGGAATGCGCGTCGTGTCTTTAAAAACTGGTCAGTTCCAACTTTTAATGTTAGTGATTCTAATATAATTTATGAAATGAGAAATGCGCAGCTTTGATAGGTATGATCTATTCAGAGAATAAAATCAGTTCACCAAAGTCTGTATCTGTAAGTGAAAAACCTTCGATGTATCCATTAACATTAATTTGTCGTTAAGTAAAGTCAAAAACAACGTAGTATTTGGAATTAAAACCCTATAACAAATATTTTGACTTACAAACATCATCCAATGATTTGGTCCCCCTTCCGATTAGGTCAAAATATTATTTTTTTATGATCAAAAGCCAAGAACTTGCGTTTTTGTTTGAACGATATACCTACTCGTAATCTCTGGCTACAAAGTGTCCACAATATCTTTTTCATGATCTTGCTTTTTTGTGTGAAAAGCTGCTCGAAAGTGTCCACTGCTCTATCAGATACTCAAAATATCATTTTGTACCTTTTACACGTATGTATCTAGACTAGAGATAGAAAATACATAATTTTTCATTTGCTAGCGTATTTATCCACCTAACTAAAACAAAAAGAAAAGTAGTTTAGTCAATTTACTACATTACTACCACCCTTCGTCACAACCGAAACAAATCACCGGAACCGGAATTAATGTAGCTCTAGGATAAGTACTATTATTACAAAACAACACCGACTGTCAGCTCACAACAATAAAACGGAGCAAATTCGCTAAACGCTGTCTGTTTTAAACCCGAGATAAGCAATCAAGTAATCAACATGAACAGTAAGTGGGGGGGGCAAAGAAAAAAGTCCAAGATTCGCCACCCCTGCGAGGGCAGGGGTGCGCAACTATAAACCCGACATATTTACGAGGCTCGTTCTCCCTCTGGGTTTACGCGGACCAAGGGATGGGAGGTAGCGGGTAAAATTCAGGGGTGGTTCACTGACGAACGTGGGAAATCACGTTTTGAAATTCGTAGTTTCTGTCAAAAAGGTCTTGAAACTATACGGAAAAATCCGTAAGTTCTTTTAAAAGTATTTTTACAGAATCTAGTGAAGCTTTTCGTGCTTTGGACTGAAGAAATAAAGTTGACAGACCGATTGAGCTAATATTAGTTGTCTATAGCGACTCATGAGTCCTGACTATACACTGGGTGGCCTGGGCTTGTATCACACACGATAAAACAATCTTGATATTTTTTTAAAATTTTGATATTTTTTGTCAAGGTACCCTCGTGTACCAAGTTACTTCTTTATTGTTTTGGCTAATTATTATGCCGAAAACTACTCTATATTCGCACCGCGTACCCAATGCCATACGACGCGATGCGTCTGGACACTTAATTATGGCCTACCTCTTATTTGGTACAATAGAGCTCAAAGCCACACTAGATTTAGATTTATCTCATAAGTGTAGCATCAAGGTGATTATAATCATGTTTCAATCAGTTAAAAAGCACCTATTTTATTTGTCAAAACTCAAAACCATTTAGGCCATGTTAAATTTGAAATGATATCCACACACTATAGTAGATACATCCCAAGCTCGTAATAAGATTAATAAAATTATCCCATCTAACAAAATAAATCATAGATTGATCAATAGGATTTTGAACGCTGTTTCAGAAACGTCCTTAAAACCGCTACCTCTCATCCCCTACCCCACAACGAAAACCGCATGGAAATCCTAACCCGCATTAATCCAATCTGGACTTTATCGCCAGCCATTAAAGCTTACATTCCCACCTGGCTGCGCGTGCGTCATCGTAACTCCTCGACAAACGTAATGGCGCGGTACGGACGTTTTTTACTCTGTTTTGAATGAATATTTTTGAATTCAAATTCACTGTTTCGAATGTTGGCGAACGCTGGAAATATGGGTTCCGCGATAGTTCTAATATTTTGGCTCGCGACATAAATTGGCGGGCTGTTTTAGCGATATGGTTTTGTTTATTAGGTTTATAAAATATGCAGTTTGTAGCAGTTGTAGACAAAAAGTTATGCTAACGCCGCCCGTATTAACAAACATTACTTTGAGGTCTCACAGTGCGCGTGGACGCACAGGGTCACATACAATCACGGAGCTCTATTCAACGCTGTGCGTTCGTGTTGCTGTTTCATGCAAGCATCGTTTGTCAATACGGGCGTTAGTTCAGCTTAGTTCAACTTAGCTCGCACAGTTAACGCTGTTTTCCATAGTTGCGTCCAAACTGCAAATTGCATAGGTACCTACTAAAGTAATGGGGATTAATGAACTTTTTGTTCACTGATCCCCCTTGACGGGGATTGTCAACGGGGAATAGTGGAATAAGCCAGCTATGCGAGCTAAACTAAACTTACTAAGCTTAGCTCTTGGTCTGCAATCCTCATCATCATCATCATCATATCAGCCACAGGACGTCCACTGCTGAACATAGGTTGATTACCAATGATTTCCATAATGATCGGTTGGTACTGTTGGTAGCGGCCTGTATTCAGCGCCTTCCTGCTACCTTTATGAGGTCGTCGGCTCACCTTGTTCACTCCAGAACCTTGCTACCCCATCGGCAGTCAGTTCTGCGTACAACCCGCATTATACCGGGTAAATTTTGGGTAGAACGGAACAAAACTCAATTTATTTTTCAGTTCTTTTAAGACCTTTTTTTGTTTTAGACTAATCCCTGCCTCTATACTAGACCCTACATTTAAACTAGTTCAAATACTAGGACCCAGTTCGTTCTAACTCGTCTAATTAGGGAATACTAGTCTTATTTGCTTGTAGTTTGTTTTACAACTCTGTAAAATCTCTAGTTTAGAACTTTTACTTCTGGTTCTGGGTGGAGTGGTTTTTCATTGATTAATCTGACTTTTCTTCCTATAGCCACTTGCCTTCCCGAACACTATAATCCGGGCCTTTTCGAGGCGAGAGTGAATAGGCTTTAGGCACAGGGCAGATATTTTATGTAACTACCCTAGACTGCATCTCACTTAACATCAGGTGCGATTACGGTCAAATACCTGCCTTGTTCTGCATAAAAAAACCATATAAAGGCAAAAAAAAAAAAGTAAAGGTTGATTGATAAAAGATTTTTAATAACTTTAAACTCGCAAGTTCAAATCATACATTTTCTTACGTGTACTATAAAAAGCTTCAAGTTATACCTGTAACTACATAATAATATCACACTGCCTTTTTAAGCTCTACCGAAAGTCGCCGAAAAGGGTAAACAGAATCCTTACAAGTTTGCATCGAAAGTCACGTCACGTCACCCTTCTAATAAAATTCTGCCACTTCGTTCATGTGTGCATTGAATTTTTGTATAAAATAAGCTTAGATTTAAAATTTTAAGCGTTCCATTTTCATGCTAGTTTAGATTATATCCGCGGCTTCGCTTTATTGGTAATCAGGGTTCTTTATTTCTTATCTAAGTAAAAGAAATGACATGACTTTTCATAGTCCAAAAATGAGAAAGTTTGGGCGATATTCCGTAAACCACAGACTTTTGACGGCCAATAGTTGGGTTGTTGTTTGGAGGGGGGGGGGGGGGCCCCCCACCCACAAGGTGGACCGACGACATCATAAAGGTAGCAAAAAGGCGCTGGACGCAGGCCGTTACCAACCGGGTAACATGGAAAGCATTGGGAGGCCTATGTTCAGCAGTGGACGTCCTATGGCTGAGATGATGATGATGGGGATGATGTAACTGTAACACCTTGTAAAGAAGCAATAAAGTTATTGATATTGAGTATTGATCGAAGAATCACCTTACAAACAAGAAAGGTAAAATACAAAATGCAACTACAAACAAGTCTTGACAAATCCAGTATAATGGAGCTCTTAGAAACATCCTCCCGCAGAGCTCATTACAACCTCGAAAAGGAATGGAATAAAGAAAGTTTTTCCATATTCCAGGGAATTCCAGGGTATAAGTAATTCACACAGTGCCAGACGGTGGTTTGACAAACAAAATGTCTTGTAAGAGCATAAAAGAGTTGAGAGAATCTTGGTTTTATAATTAAGTCTTTAGAAAAGGCTTTTTAAATAAGCAATGGCGTCGGGGGATATGACGGCTGTTTTTAGTGCCCACTGTTTTGGAGTATAGAATTTCAACAGGGCTGCTTTACAGCTTATTTTATTATTTAAGCATCCCTTTCACTCATAGAGAGGCCCTGGTAGGTGTGACAAGTACAGATAGACTTGAAAATATAGGGAAAGATGGCAGTGTCTGGATGAGAATGTAGAGATTTGATCTAAGATTGACAACTTTCAAGAACATTGACCGTGGGCCAAGTTGCCGAAAGAAAAAATATTGAAAAATTGAATCCGGCGACTTGGACCATGGACCAAAGTGGGCCAAGTCACCGTAAGACTTCAGTAGGTATTGAAAACTAACTACCGGGCAACATGGAAAGCATTGGGGGAGGCCTATGTTCAGCAGTGGACGTCCTATGGCTGAGATGATGATGATGAGGTATTGAAATATTGAAAAGTCTACAATATTTTTCTTCTTTACTTCTTAGTACAGCTTTCATGTTATGGATTGCAGTGATTCAACGATTAGTATTTTGTATAATAATATTAATGTTAATGAAAATGTTCTCGTACAAAAATAAACGGTTGTTCAGTAATCTACCAGAAAATATGGTTGCAAAAATCCATTTCAGCATGCGAGTAAAAACCTAACCGAAGTGCTCACTAAAAAGTAACATACCCTCAAAAAACCACGAACATATCGCAAGTAATTTGAAAGCGCACCGCAGAAATCACTGACGTAAATATCGCGTTCCGCGCAACACTCGAGTCGAGTGCGGTTCGTTAGCGGCTACGCTGCGATTGCGATTTAATTGCTACATGTGACTAGTTTCAGTGTGACCAGTAGTTGGAGGGCTGGACCACAAGTTGAAATGTACGATTTTAGAACACTTGACTAACTGGACTTTTCCACTTCTCGTTACCACTACTGTAAGTGCTGTGTAGTCTATAAAAAGCCAACGAGTAAAGGGTACAGATTTAAGTCTTTTTCGCCACTTCTTCTCAGCACAGCCCATCATATGTTGTCCCTAAGTGGTGGTAGAGCAAACTATATTTGCCTATCTAAAAAAACCATTTGATTTATCCAGGTCAAAGTTAAACTGTCATTTTGCTATTATGAGAATAATCCTTTGTTCTGGATGAAAAAAGAGGGAGATCGCGCTATATGGCAATTCTAGGAGAGGCTCACGTCTATTAGTGCACTGCCTGATGTTGATATGATGATGAGTTTTTTTGATAGTCTGAAACACGTGCAAAGCTGCGACAAGAAGCTAGTCCAAGATACAGCTTTCCAAATTCCAACTATTTGAATATAATTCGTATGACATTCAAGGATTGACCCCCAGGGTGCTCCTCAATAGTACAATAACCTAAAGATTGGACCTAGAGTTAACCTAATCTTGAGGGCATCGAACTTTAGTGAAGGTCGGGTGTGTGATACAGGGTTACAATTGAAATGAGATAATTTATTTACGTAAGAAACAGTCCGCAAAGTCTTTATACATAAATCACTCGACTTGTTAAATCCATTAAAATTTATATTTTTTTGTTTCAGGTCTTCTATGCGCATTGGCAGCAGAAGGTAAGATTTTTAATACTATTTAGCACTTCTTAGGAATGTAACCCCTTATTAATAAAAAGTTACACTTAGTAAGCCAGAGTTCAACTATTGTGTAACTTTTATTAATAATGGAGTAAAATTCTTGCTTTTTGCCTTTAGTTATCAAATAAACAACTTCTTTATTCAACACAAACATTTGCTTTAAAATTATTAGTCATCATTGGTTTGTGATGATAAGCAAAATACAGTTCAAACATCGCATCCAGGGTCTTATTGCAAATCGAATGATCATAATATCGATTATACATTTCGCGAGCAGTAACCGAGTCGTTCAAAGTTCACGCTTGTGTGACCGGCGGCAACCTTATTGTGACCTTTTGTCTAAAGTCTTTTCTTAGCTTGATCCTATTTAGGTGTAATGTGGTCTAGGCACATCTAGAAATAAAAAGATGTTGAGGCATTGCATTGCACAGCGTGCTATGGAGAGGGCTATGCTCGGTGTTTCTTTACGAGATCGAATCAGAAATGAGGGGATCCGTAAACGAACTGAAGTTGCTGACATAGCCTGATATGCCTGATGGATTAGCAAGCTAAAGTAGCAATGGGCGGGGCACATAGTATGCAGAACTGACGGCCTATGGCTCAGCAAGGTTCTGGAGTGGCGGCCACCTAATTACTGGAAAGTGACTCATATGCCTTTAACAGTACAATGATGATAATATGGTACTCATACAATAATCACTTAGTTGACCTGTTTTGAAGTTTCTTAATGCAGTCATTAGTTTCGACTATGGATTACATTCCCGAATGTGACCATAGATCAAACTCCTAAGGTAGATACCGTTACAGTATTTTCCAGATTCGTTTACTCCTTTTCTCTATGCTTGGTTTAGTATTTGTGAAACAAAAAAAAGTTTAAGTGAAATGAGTTCGTCTCGAGAATCATTCGAGTTTTTTCAGTACCGCTGATGTTTTCAGTTTCAATGCGAGCTAGCGAAGGAGTCATCAAGTGGCAGTGTCTATTTTGAACTAGTGTTGTGGAAAAAAATATCGATAAACTCGTTTTTCGATAGAAAAAGTGTAGGATGACAAAGTTTTGAAATTCTTCATTTCTATATTTCCTATGATTAAGAATTAACCTTATCCCAGTAAGCTAAAAGCAACTTTTATGTTTAAGAAGAGAGTATGTACAGTATTTTTTTCTGGAACGATCGACCGCATATAATACTCTTGGATATCGGTATTTTCTCTTCCAAACAGAAATCTGGAATGTTCTGTAAAACTAGATCGCTTCCATGGAATCTATAAAATGTAATAGCCTAGCAAGCAGCTAGATAATGACTTCGTTAGAGGTACTTAACGTCGNTTAGAACAGCACTTGAATAACGGGACTTTTGCCACTTCTCGTTCCCGCTGCAAGTCCTGTGTAGCCAGGATCTACAGCTTGACCGTCTATAAAACCTAGCCGGTGAAGGCCTTTAGTCCCAGGAAAAAGTTAAACATCATTGGATTGCACCCGCAACGAAACGTACTTTTATTGAAATTCAAATTCTTTATTGCTAATCCACGTGTCACGTAGGATTTTCAAAAATAATATTATACTCGTAGAAGAGGATGGAGGGAGAGTTTATACTGTCATTCTGAGGTATTCTTGTATAGTAGGTATAGTAACTTTTAGCTGTGAGTATATCTTGGAAGTTTTTTTTTTTAAGTTTTACCACTGATTTAAGCTACGGCAAGAAGCTTGTCCAAGATACAGCTTTCCAAATTCCAACTATTCACATAATTCGTATGACATTCAAGGATTGGCCCCTAGTGCTCATCAGTACAATAACCTAAAGACTAGACCTAGAGTTAACCTAGACTTTAGGGCATCGAACTATAGTGAAGGTCAGGTGTGACATACAGGGTTACAATTGAAATGAGATAATTTATTTGCGTACAGTCTGCTACCAAACGTGAAAAGAGATAGAGATCCAACAATACGTAGCTTACAATACAAGCTATGTTTTGTTGATCCCCTTGAGTTGATGGACTATTGAGTTGATGAGGGCTATGAACGTGACGACTGGTTGGGATTTTGTTATGATTTGTTGTGGTTTATAGGGGTCAATCCGTAAATTGTTGCATGTCATCTCGTGCTCATGCCGGAGTCTGCTAAATATTGGGCAGTCTCGCATGAGATGGTCAATATCCTGTACGCTGGAGTCATCGCAGGGGCAGTAAGGGTTGTGTAAGATCTAGCAGACTGCAACTAAACGCCCTTGGAGCTCAGAACTTTTGAAGTTCAATAAAAACTGTGAGCACATTATTAGGCACTTTAACCAAAATCGCAAAAGTGCCGAAGACACAAAAAAAAAATTGCGTAAGAAACAGTCCGTCAAGTCTTTATTACATAAATCGGTTGACTTATTAAACCCATTAAAATGTATATTTTTTATTTTCAGGTCTTCTATGCGCATTGGCAGCAGAAGGTAAGATTTTTAATACTTTTTAGCACTTCTTAGGAATGTAACCCCTTTAATAAAAAGTTACACTTAGGGGTGAACCTTGGATTAAACTGACATTTCCATATTAAATGACAATTTAAGCCAGAGTTCAACTATTGTGCAACTTTTATTAATAATGGAGTAAAATTCTTGCTTTTTGCCTTTAGTTATCAAATAAACAACTTCTTTATTCAACACAAACATTTGCTTTAAAATTATTAGTCATCATTGGTTTGTGATGATAACGCTTACCCAAGCAAAATACAGTTCAAACATCGCATCGGTTCTTCAATTGCAAATCGAATGATCATAATATCGATTGTACATTTCGCGAGCAGTAACCGAGTCGTTCAAAGTTCACGCTTGTGTGACCGGCGGCAACCTTATTGTGACCTTTTGTCTAAAGCATATTCTGAGCTTGATCCTATTTAGGTTTAAATATGGTCTAGGCACGTCTAGAAATAAAAAGATGTTGCATTGCATTGCACAGCGTGCTATGAAGAGGGCTATGCTCGGTGTTTCTTTTACGAGATCGAATCAGAAATGAAGAGATCCGTGAACGAACTGAAATCGCTGATATAGCCTGATATGCCTGATGGATTAGCAAGCTAAAGTAGCAATGGGCGGGGCACATAGTATGCAGAACTGACGGCCTATGGCTCAGCTAGGTTCTGAGGTGGCGGCCACTTTAGTACTGGAAAGCGGAGCGTAAGACATCCACTCACAAGGTGGACCGACCACATCATAAAGGTAGCAGGAAGGCGTTGGACGCAGGCCGCTACCAACCGGGCAACATGAAAAGCATTGGGGGAGGCCTACGTCCTATGGCTGAGATGATGATGATGAGGCACGTCTGGAAATAAGAAGGCTTCTAATATTACTGAGCTATTTGAAGAATGCACAGGTTCTAATGCCTAATTACAGCCCCCTTCCATCACCGGGGAACCAGACTCAGGTTAGCGTACCATCCCTACATTGTCGACATTCCACCAGCTGCTCGCACTAAGAGTTTCGCTAACTCTAATAAAAGGCCAACAGCTAGGAACTAAAATTCGCTGCCTGCTGCTGTCTTTCCTGAACACTATAATCCGGGCCTTTTCAAGGCGAGAGTATATAGGCACTTACAGGGCAAGTATGTACCATCCTAGACTGCATCTCACTTAACACCAGGTGCGATTACGGTCAAATACCTGCCTTATAGTTGAACTGGTTTACAGTTTACGAGTATTAACGCAGGCCCTAGTTTCGACTATGGATTACATTGCTGAATGATCATAGCTACCATAGATCAAACTCCTAAGGTAGATTCCGTTTCAGTATTTTCCAGACTCGTTTACTCCTTTTCTCTATGCTTGGTTTGGTATTTATGGTGAAACAAAAAAAGTTTAAGTGAAATGAGTTCGTCTCGAGAATCATTCGAGTTTTTTCAGTACCGCTGATGTTTTCAGTTTCAATGCGAGCTAGCGAAGGAGTCATCAAGTGGCAGTGTCTATTTTGAACTAGTGTTGTGGAAAAAAATATCGATAAACTCGTTTTTCGATAGAAAAAGTGTAGGATGACAAAGTTTTGAAATTCTTCATTTCTATATTTCCTATGATTAAGAATTAACCTTATCCCAGTAAGCTAAAAGCAACTTTTATGTTTAAGAAGAGAGTATGTGCAGTATTTTTTTCTGGAACGATCGACCGCATAATATACTCTTGGATATCGGTATTTTCTCTTCCAAACAGAAATCTGGAATGTTCTGTAAAACTGGATCGCTTCCATGGAATCTATAAAATGTAATAGCCGAGCAAGCAGCTAGATAATGACTTCGTTAGAGGTGCTTAACGTCGTTGGCTAGTTCAACTACAATGGGGCAAGGGGGAAGAATCAACAGACTGGATGTCGCCATATCCCGCTATCTTGGCTTGGAATTAGGGCTTGCAATATCGGATAGTTTTCAACTCCGGAACTGATTTCCGATATTGGGCACTCAACTCCGGAATTCCGGTTCTAGTTCCGGAGTTGGTTAAAAAAGAAAGCGCCTCCCGATAAACACGTACACGTATGTGGCCTCCACTTTAGAACCTTGCCCTATCGGCCGTCTGTTCTATGTGCCCTGCCCATTGCCACTTTAGCTTGGTAATCCGATCGCTATATGTCAGGCAACTTTAGTTCGTTTACGAATCTCCTCATTTCTGGTTCGATCTCGAAAAGAAACACCGAGCATAGCACTCTCCATACCATGGTGTGCAACTTTGAGCTTATTATAAGCCTTATAGTAAAAGGCCACGTTTCCGAACCGTGTGTCATCACTACTTGTAACACACACTGATTGTAGACTTTCGTCTTTAGGCACTGAAGTGTTTTGGTCGAAAAGATGTTATGTAGTTTCCCAAACGCTGCCCAGCCGAGTTGAATTCGACGTATTATTACATCTCCCTGCCTCACAGCTCGCTGCAGAGGAATCGCAGAGGAATCGCCCTCGTATTCAGCCAGGCTCAAAGACCTTCTCATAGTCTAAGAACGCCAAGCATATAGGCAAGTTAGACTCTTCGGTCTTCTGTATAACGTGCCGTAGCGTATAGATGCGGTATATGGTAGTGTAAACGTTTCGATAACTGGCTTCCTCGAGAGACTATAAGTCATCGAACCTACGCGCGAGACTATTCGTGATGGCTCTCAAAAACAGCTTGTAGACATGACTCAGAGTCAGAACCCAGATGGGTCTGTAATTCTCCTTTCTCCTTAATAAGGCTTTTACCCCTTTCTTAAAGAAAAACACCACCAAGTATTTGTTCCGTGCCTCTGGCATTATTCCCTGGAGTAAGACGGAGTTAGTCTATGAAGGACTTTCAGTATCGGCTTATCACCTGCCGCGTTCAGAAGCTCCGAGGTTATTCCGTCATCACCCGGTGCCTTGTTGTTCTTTAGCTGTTTGAGAGCCATCCTAATCACGCAAGGGCTGATGTCCGGCTAATCTTCGGTATAGTGTCGAGTTAGCTTAGCTGTTGGAACTGTCCTGTGGCTGAGCTATTAACAGGTTTTACTCTATCATCCGCTCTCTTCAGCTGGCTTCGCCCATTAGAGTTGTCTCTAGCGAACATTTTGGAGCTTTGGTTTCGCCCTATTGCCTCTTTAATATTATTACTAATAAAGTTGCGAATACATATTTTATCTCGAGGACTTCCTTATCTAAGAACCTATTTTGATACTTAAACGTTTTGAAAACTTAAAATAATTTATGTAAAATTTCAATATCGGAATACGATATTGGCTTCAGTTCCGGAATTGAAATATCGGAAAAAATGTATCCGAAATTCCGGAGTTACGAAATTCCGGAATTCCGGTATTCAAGCCCTAGTTGGAATGTCTTGGCTGATAGTGATAGTAGTGAGAATTGGTATGCCTTGGCTGACAATGATAGTGGCGAGCATAGGTTTATTTCGAAAAGTAAAACTAGTGAAGGCCAAGTTTATCCCAGTGGAAAGCTGTCATTGAACCCGTAACCCTTAAATTATAAGAATATTGAAGAAGTCAAAATTATAAACGACAGCACATGAAGTTTAGCTTGATTGTGAATTTAATGTCTGATCATCTTCACAAGTTTCACAACAGATTTTATTTAGTAAACAGTTCACCTGTGTGTGGTAGGATTTCTAGATTGCCTATTTTTACATGCCCCTGCCTAGGCATTTCTTATTTTTTACACATTCCATCGATATCGATACCCAACTTTTTCACATCACTGGGTCATCGTCATCGAGTAGTCTAGCTCACGCTTCGACGCCTGCACCTACCCCATGAATACTGGAGTATTCTTTTGTGTCCCCCTCTCATTGTGCGCGAGGGAGCGAGACGCCAATGTATAGAAATGTGTCATTAGTGTTTAGGTGTAATATTGATGTGTGCAATCTGGAGGATAGGGATCGTTTGTCTTGCAATTTCTATAGGCTGTGACGTGCGGATTGATAGTTCATGTGGACGCCATCTTGGTGGTGGCCAATACAAATATTCCTTACACACGGGAACGATCTCTAGTGACTTATTTAATTAAATATATGGATTGTATACTTAAATCATCAGCTGAAGAGGGATCGTTTGTCTTGCAATTTCTATAGGCTGTGACGTGCGGATTGATAGTTCATGTAGACGCCATCTTGGTGGTGGCCAATACAAATATTCCTTACACACGGGAACTATCTCTAGTGACTTATTTAATTAAATATATGGATTGTATACTTAAATCATCAGCTGAGGATAGCCTGTTCCTCTGTGCTTGAGGATTTTTTTATGCAATGCAATTTGCAGGTGTTAAGTCAAAGTCAAAGTCAAAAGTCAAAAAATTTCTTTATTTGTTTGGACTAATAAATAGTTCTTACAAATCGTCATTTTGCTCTTAAGGAGCCTCTACATGTCTCATAATCTTTTTACCCTACCAGCGCTTCGAGACCAACATTTGGCAAGTGCTGAGAAGAAGCGCCGCAACAAACTCAGTCACCACTGTCTGCCCNGCTATTAACAGGTTTTACTCTATCATCCGATCTCTTCAGCTGGCGTCGCCCATTAGAGTTGTCTCTAGCGAACATTTCGGAGCTTTGGTTTCGCCCTATTGCCTCTTTAATATTATTACTAATAAAGTTGCGAATACATATTTTATCTCGAGGACTTCCTTATCTAAGAACCTATTTTGATACTTAAACGTTTTGAAAACTTAAAATAATTTATGTAAAATTTCAATATCGGAATACGATATTGGCTTCAGTTCCGGAATTGAAATATCGGAAAAAATGTATCCGAAATTCCGGAGTTACGAAATTCCGGAATTCCGGTATTCAAGCCCTACTTGGAATGTCTTGGCTGATAGTGATAGTAGTGAGAATTGGTATGCCTTGGCTGACAATGATAGTGGCGAGCATAGGTTTATTTCGAAAAGTAAAACTAGTGAAGGCCAAGTTTATCCCAGTGGAAAGCTGTCATTGAACCCGTAACCCTTAAATTATAAGAATATTGAAGAAGTCAAAATTATAAACGACAGCACATGAAGTTTAGCTTGATTGTGAATTTAATGTCTGATCATCTTCACAAGTTTCAATCAGCCCACCGTGGGGCGGTCAGTGAACTTTTTTAGTAATTTGGCCATAACTTCGTCAATTTTTGTCGTAGAACAAAAATTTTTGCACTGTGTATTAAGGATTTTTTAGCCCTATAAATCTGCATTCACAGCTAAAAATCGAAATGATCCTCATTATTAAACCTAGCATTTCAAACGCATTTAACTCATGAAAGTGGATGCTACTAAGTACACAATCCCAATTTAAGAAAAGTCAATAAGTATACCTTGCTCTACATAGTTAGCATTTTGATATGATAAAAATGTGATAGAATTCCATTATTAGTAACTAGAATCAAGAATAGTGATTAATATTATTACTACAAATAGTAGGGCCAGAGTAAGTTGCCACTTTTTTTTCTGCAAATCAATAAAATCATAGATACCTAGATTTATGAACCGAGAGTTTTTGTGTATAATAAATACCATTTTCTAGTCACTGTTTGATAACATGTAGTTAATTTTGTTTTGTATAATTTATATTATGAAAAATTTAATAGATGTTTCAATTTAAAAATGTGTTTTATTTTGGTCTACATTATACCTTTTAACTCTACATTATAGGAGGTAGGAAGTGTAAACAAATGAAACATATAAGAAAAATACAAATTTAATTTATTCTAGTCTTTAAATTAAGCTTCTTTACATAATAAAAATGGCTGCAAGGCAATTTGGACATCAGGATCTAATGGTATCTCATGGATGTACTTTGAGAATGTTATAACAATCTTGTAAATACTTCTCTTGACAGATGAAATGAGGGCAGATTTAATTTTAATTGCAAACATATCATTGAGAATATGTTTTCGGTGAATAAGGCCAGGTTTTGATAGTTTGTCTATGCTATGTTTGAGATTTATCATAGCTGATATAACAACTGGTAAATCATTCTGGACCACCCCATAATTATCTTCTTTGAGTGAGGCTGCAGCAATAAACGCTAATCCTTCACATGTCCACATAACTGGCTGCGCTTGCATTAACAAAAATTTCAGCCGTGTATCAGTAAGCTCACCAAAGAAGTAGTTTATTCCAGGCTTTTGGCATAGTTTATGTAGGAAAAGATTAAATTCTTCCTTGGCAACATCTGCAAAAGTGTCTTCAAGTTTATTTTTATTATGATCTTTCATATGAAGTAACTCTGGTGATTGTGCCATGTTTCTCAAATTGCTTGAATATAATCCAACATGAGGAGTCACATTCAATAATTTTTTGTTTCCTGAGTTTTCCATTTCTATAGGTTTTCCATCTGAATTTATGTTGCCAAGTTCTTTGCTAAATTCATTGACAATCGTCAGACATTTTTGCAACAGATTGTTCCAGTTCCTTGGATGTCCGCCAGGTTGCGAAAGAGTAAAAATATGTTGACGTCTTGCTGGGTCAGTCATTGCCATAATCCTCAAGTCTTGAGCTCCCAAGTAGCCATTGAATTGGTTTCTTTGCTCCAGTGCATTGTACAGAGTCAGGCATGAATCTGACTCAATGGGAAACTTCATGGGTTCAGTTAGTATGATGTTGAATATTGTTCTCATTGTGTAGACAGATATCAAAAACAAACTGGTATAAAACCACAGTCCAATCCAGATTCCAGAGGCAATCAAATTCAGTATGTTATCCAGTGGGGGATCTTCCAAAAATAGGCCATAGACTTCAGACACAACACTTCTTGGTTTGTTGCCCCAAACATAGTAAAATATGCTAAAATAAATCACAGGAGCAACGGCATGTTTGAAGCCCATGGACAAGATGTTACTGATGGACAATTTTAACTGCTGGAACTTATCTTGATAAATGTGCGGGAACAATAAAACTGAGGTCCCAAAAATGTGTCCATTCAAGAAATAATATAGTCCCATCCACATACCTCCAAACTGCAGGAATAAACTTTGCTCCAATATGCATTGCCCATCGTAGTTCTCACATTTTTTCTTTAGTACATTGAAATTGCTTTTTGCTAGAGATGAATACAGACTCATAGTGAAATAGCCACTCAGAGCATACAACATACTAAATGTTATATTCTGAACTGAAAACATGTTCAAAAACATGGAAAACCTCGTAAAGTACTTAGGCATGGGCATCATGTAGTAGTTGCCGTATATATAAGCTTGGAAAAAAGATACCATGGCAAGAAGTACCAGATTCAGTCCCATTTTCCAACCAAAAATATCTTGTATCGTTGATGAAATCCATGACAGAGGGTGCAGTAAATCAATCTGTATGACGAAAACTAGCACAATTGCAAGAAGGCATTGAAGACACAAATTCCATATAACTGCTACAACCAATCTTTGGGAAAATATTTCGCTTTTGGCTTCCATACCGGCAAGTGTTAGGTTATTGGATTTTGTCCAAGAGTAGTCTTGTTTTAACAATCATTTAACTTTAAAACAGTGGAGCTTTGATCAAGTTTATTGCTTGATTTATAACATTATTACACACCAACTCATTAAAAAGTATTAAAATTAAATAAACATTACAGAAAAAGCTTCACTCTCAACGGTCATTTCTGTTTTTTTTTTTTCAATTTCACAAACGTCAAAAAGGACAGCTGATAACCATAGATAATAAATATAACCGCTTTATTCCCCCCGCTTACTTATCCCCCCTCGTTTAATAATGTAATGCAATGGCTATAGTTGCGTTTATGGTCTGTTTGAAATAAATTGAAATGGTAAATAATATTTTTTGCTGGCAATACCGAATACAAATGTCAAACAAAATAATGATTCTTTTTCGTAATCTGTGCTGTATATATTTATCGTCTTCGGAGGACGTGCTATGCTTTTACTTTTATTCGTATTACTATAAAATTCTAACGTATACAGCGTTAATAAGAAGTGTCCATTGAGAAACTTCCCTGGTGCTTTTACTGGAATGATAAATTAGTGTACATATTGCAGCTTATGCGGTCGCCAATCGCAGTGCCCTACATTTTAAAAGTTTTTACTCAAATGGAAGAAAGTAGTGTACCTGATGCATTACTTTTTATAGAAGTGACTTAAAGTTTCTTTTGTGATGGAATACATTCGGCTGCACCGTCGTTTTTCAATGTATTGAGGAACTCTTGTGATGTATACTTTATTGGAGATAGCATTGAGTCTTGGGGTGCTTGTCACCCTTGTAACAGTTCTATCACTATGTGTATGTGGATGCAAAAACTCCAACCAGAAGTGAGTATCAACAGTTACTGTTTACATAATTAACCTGGTAATATTGCTTAGTCTTGACAAAATAGTGGATTGGTACAATTTGAAATTGTAGTACACAATTAGAATTCAATGACTATTGCCCAGTTCTCAAGTAATTTTGAGCCATTTAACTCTCCCCTGCCCCATCAATTCACTTGCAATTTTCAGCTTAGGTGTCAGTAAGACTCATCATAACAGCTAGAAATAGTGCAAAAATTATAAATATTTAATGTTTACTAGTTTTCATTTATTAAAATAAATGTTGTTTCTCTAAATTGTTGACTTGTATTTAATAAAAGTATTCATTGATACTGTGTAGGTTTGTTGTCGACACGAAAAGAAGAAGATCCATAATAATATAATATACTACAATCAAAGTGTGATCTTGATTCCATAGATACAAGGTTTAATTTAATTTTATGTTCCAATAAATTAATTATTCATGAGCATGTGCATTTGTGCAAGAATATTTTAAATTATCTTGCACTGACTGACTATTCTATTGTTATGCAGTGACATCATACAAACAGTCCTATTAGAGTTTTAATTAGTATTTTATAGTGTACAGTGTCATCACTGGCTAAATGGAATGTTGCCTGGGTCCAATGGCAATCATTGGAATTATGACTGCCAATGAGTCACACATCTTGAATATTGAATTTATTATTGCAGTGAAGGTTTATGTTTTATTAAGTTCTTATTAGAAATAAAGGCAAATTAGCATATCCACACTTTAGAGCTTTTATTACCCCATTTTAAATGTCACTGTTGGCTGTAAAATTGAAAGTTTAAAACCTTAAATAAGCTAAAGAAAATAATTAAGGAAAAGGAAACATATAAACTCCATTGCATAACAGAGTACTCTACACCGACAGCAACTTTATTGAAAGTAATGTTATACAATATTGTATTAGTTACTTACAAAGAAATCATCAAATTACTAATTATCTAATTTTTATAAGAAAAATAATAGATTAATAAAAAATACTTTGAAGTATTGCCCACAAGGGGCCTTCACACGTCTCAAAATCTTTTACTTACTGTTATTTGTACTTTAATAATTGTTCAATTTAACAGAAATGAGTTGGTGGGTACGGCAGGTGTAGTCAAAATTCATTTTGATGAAGAGGTACCGTCCCCGACACCCACCACTCCGGCCTCTATCAAGCGGTTTGTTGTAGGCCAACTACGTACAGTAGTACACAGCATGTTTAGACAGATCTCTAACCCCTGGGCTAATCATTTAACAATATCAATCATAGTACCTAACGTAGTATGTAACTAATTATTTACTCGAGATTATTAACCCTATTAACATTTTATTCAGTAGTTTTATTGTGGTTTAATTTGTATACTTTCAACTATTTCCTCTTAAATAAAAGCTGGTCTTATATCACAATATCTTTATGTATAAAAATCAATTGTCTCAGTAATAGGTTCAGACAGTCGCCTTGCCAAGATACTAAAATAAGTTGAACTTATGAGACAATTGATTTTATTTTTATGTTATTAATTTAATTTAAAATAAAACTTCAAATTACTTGTATGTAGCTATATGCAACTGAATAATGTGCATGACTTTAATTGATAAAAATATCATGATAAAAGCATCACCCAGACATCATTAACCATTTTAGTTCCATAAATCTTATTAAATGTATCTTAATATGTTTATCTTGATTAATAATACTTTAGCAAAATATAGAATTCTTACCTGATACCTACAAATATGATAATGATCAAATTTTATTAATAATAAATCGGTTTAATTACTACCTGTAGATTGTAATATTAATGGATGGTCCAAAGGCGTAGTGCGATACGCGTAGAATCGTAGAGTTGCGGGTTTTATTCCCATAATCAAAAAATTTGATGTGTACTTTGACCATACAGTATTATGTCATATGTATTACTATTTATTATTCTTGTTAAGGAATCCCTTAAAAATACTCCCATTATGAATGTATTAATTTAACTATAATCTGTAGATAGCAAGTTTATTGACAGCATGTTTCATGTGGGTATGAGTAATGTAGGTAATTCAAATTCAGAATTAATGATGGTTCCTTTTTTAATAGAGCATCGACCCAAAACAGTCAACGCAGCCTGCCCGAAATCCCGCATCCTGTAGGCAGGCATGACAGCGGGGATACGGCATCGGAGATTTACGCGACCGTCAATTTAGATGAAGGTATTATAATTTACCTACCCACTTAAGCCCGATTTCCACCAAAGGGCGTCAACTGTTAGTGAAGGGTTCAAGATCCGTGGCATGAACTATACTCGTGATCTAAAGCCTGGTCCGTGAGCACGTAGAATCCCGTCCAATGACCCCAAGCTACCCATCCTTATCGCTCGCGCGTAATTATGTTGCTGTCGCGCTCGCACACTCACTGCGGGCGCGTGTCGCATCGCACAGTCGCGACAGCAATATAATTACGCGCGAGCGATAAGGATGGGTAGCTTGGGGTCATTGGACGGGATTCTACGTGCTCACGGAAGGCTTTAGTAAGGCCTACGAAAGTGACGAGAAGAGAAAATTTATTGGAATAACCAGTCAGATTACATTATTTCCTTCACCTCTCTGCTCAGCTTCGTTCTGAAATCTGATTAGGTCCATGATTCAAACACATCTCATCTCCTCGCCACTTTGAAAGCGGGCCTTACTAGAAGACGAGTATAGTTCATGGCACGGAAAGTGAACCCTCGGCTAACAGTTGAGATTGCTTGAGCATTCGCCAATATCTTGGACCCTTGACAAAGTGACGCTTCGCTACGTCATTTTAAGGTTTCCTTTTAGTTACAAACTTGGTTCTATTCTTCCGTGTAGCAGATTCATGTGTCGTTTTGGTCCGAAATACACACCTATTTTATTATCAACTAGCTGACCCGGCGAACTTTGTTCCGCCTTAATGGCAATAAATAAGCAGACTTTTTTTTTTAAATTTCGAACTGGATAAAAAGTATCCTGTGTCCTTCTCCTGGCTCTAGGGAGGTACCCTGACAATTTTCAGCTAAATCGGTTCAGCCGTTCTTGAGTTATAAGCGAAGTAACTAACACGACTTTCTTTCATATATATAGATGACTAAAGCCAGTCATACTACTCACGTATGAATGTGCATAGGTACCTACATTAGATAGTATTATTTTGAAACCTCTGATTACGAGCCTGACGTTGAATCATTTTAAATATCTAAGTACTTAGGTGTCTATCAATTGATAAAATATAAAAAAATGTTATTGTGACGCCATACAATCATGGCTCTAAATCTACATGATTTTATAAACTACTAACTTTAAAACGGTCTTACAAACAAACTATGATTTGAAGTAGGTGTGTTATTTAATTTATTATATTTTTGACAACAGGAAATAAAACAGTAGCAACAGCGTCTACAAGTCGGGACCACCCATACGAGCGAGCGTATTCAAAGCTACAAAACGAGGCCCACAATGTGTAAGTATACAATACTCTTTTGAAAATTATAAATAACTTGAAAAAATCGAACTGCCTAAGGCAGAAATCGAACACACGACCTTTCGCTTGCCGGGCGACTGCTGCTCTTCCATCTGAGCTACTTACAAGTAGACGCTGGATGGATCCGTCAAAATTTTCAAGTGCAATACGCTGTTACGCCCAATTTCAATACTCAACCGTCTATAGACCGACGCGTAGGTGGTTCGCGTACCTGATTACTTTTACAAAGGTCGCGGATTCGATCCCCGTATACTATTTGGACTTTAGGTTCCGTGGATTATGACATGGTGGACCAAGGGTTCATCCTTGTTAAAGGAAGATTCTGTCTCCCGCTGATTTACGATCGATCTTCCCAAGTTATCTGGAAGAGATAGTTTCCAAGCTATAAGACCGTAATAGGCGCTATTACGCTGTTCCAATTTTAGTATAATTTCTGGGCGGTATCATTTCGAAATTAATTTGATACACGTTGCGTTCTCCTGTTGTGACTACTTGATAATTGACGTCAATATGTAAATCGTATACCGATAAAATCTTACGATTAAAATTGCCAGCTGAGCAACTAGGATATCTTTTTATACACGAAGTAGGTATGGCTACCGTACTGTTAAAGCTTAGTTGAATCCCCTTCTGACCCACCGCACTACCAAACCACACTACCAGGGAACTTGGTTCCAGTTCCGTGAATATCATAAAAGGTGAGTAAGGTACAAATACTTAAGCGATCATCAGACTTCCCCAACCCGTCTGGTCAACGTGAGGAGTGTAGACCAAACCCTCCATTTTACTCAGATAAATTAGAGAGGGTCGTTCGTACTCCTGGATGAGACTAAACGGCCTGATGATATTGATGACTTCTTTTCTTTTCAGCACCGTAGAAATCACGCCGGTCCAAGTATCAGATGACGAAGTACAAATAGATGAAAGGGATGCGACCACGTCCGGTCCTGGTAAGATAAAATACAATACATCATTATTATTTTATCGGAAGATTATTGAGGAAGAGATAATTAGTATAATCCTGTATATAAATAAGTAGGTAACTTTTGTTAAATATTTTTGAAGAAAATCCCTTTATCTCTTCAGTCTATCACCAATAAAACCCAATTTAGGTTTCATATTTTATATCGGACTCGAATGTAAGTGGAAAAGTTTGTAAAAATTCATACTATTCATAATTCATTCTACATAAAATCTCTAATTGATAAAATTAAAACCTATAAAGGTTAAGCACGCAAGTTAGTTATTTGCAGCAATGCTGAATTCTTCATAGCAAAAGATATTAATTTCCTACTTAAAAATTTAGTATTATAATTTTTTTGTACTGGCAATACACACTTTCCCAAGATTCTTTAAAAAAAAACTGTTGCAATAAACCAGCCGAAACCGCGGGAAAAGTTACGTTAATTTAAATTCGTAATCCATTTTTCGTTAAATTGGTTCATTGTCGTATCAATAAATCGTCCGATTATATCTCGTATTACAATATTATACGATAAGGCTACGAGTACCTACTCTTTTTATGTAATGGCGATATTATCTTCATTTCGGCGTATTCCGGAAGCCTTATTATAAAAAATGTTATCGAAAACTAACCGTGATTGTTACGTTTCAGTTCTCCAAAGATCTTCTTCGTTAAATCATAAAATCGTTTTATTGTCATTGAAATTCTCTATCGCATCATTTTTGACATGTTAGGCTAAGAACTCACGGGGCGATTTTCACCCGCGCCCGCGGCGGTTGCGAAATTGCTGTTTTATTTCAAAACTCACGGGAGAGGTTATTTGCGCGGTTATTCTAAGAACTCACGGCGCGATTTTCACCCGCGCCCGCGGCGGCTGCGGGTACAAAATGGTCGCCCGCAGATCGAGCGCAGAGCGCGCGGGCGAAAACCGCCCAGGCTGCGGTTACCGCGGCTCGCGCGATTCTACTAGTCTCCCGCCGGTGCCGCGGGACCCGCATACAATCGCGCCCGCTGCGGGCGCAAACCGCGTCGTGAGTTGTGCATTAGTTTTTACATAAGTATCTGCATTCTACAGAAGCTGTGAGCCCGCAACCGCCGCAGGCGCGGGTGAAAATCGCGCCATGAGTTCTTAGCCTTAATGAGACGCATCGTTTGGGAAATTCGTTACTTAGTATCTATATAAAAAAAATAACGGCTTATATTTAGAGATATTTTTTAATTCTACTGTAAAGTTGGCAATTTCATTAAGACTGGTTACTATTGCGTGTAACTGCATCCAACATGGTCGTTTTAGGGAAAACGGTTATAATGGCTTTTGTGTTGCACCTTACAAGGATACGCTACTTCTTTCCTGTCTTGCGATAGTTAGTTTTTTCTGCAATAATCGTTATTGCATCTTTCTTATTCAACATGAAACATGTCAAATGGTTCTACAATATTTTTGAGTTATTTCATGTTATAAATTAATTTGTCAAAGAATAAATGATGAGCCTTGCAGTACTCTAATGCGCTTATGCAAAGAAGATATCGTAATAATTTAATTTAATTCGATGATAAAACAAATTTTACTCAGGATTTGAGTATCACCTACCAATATCAATGTCTATACTAGACATAAAACAACGGAAAGCAGTTACAAAATAAGAAAAAATATGAAAACACCAAATACCTACCTTTATGAAAATATCGTAGTACCTAAAAGTATGAATAAAAAATTGAGAGATGCGATTGGTCGTATTGTATCATGCGTATCATGTAGCAACAATAAAAATATTCACTATTTTCGTCATTCCCCATATACTGATAACTAAATTAGATTTAGATTAGATCAGATTATTAAAACCATTTTATCAGACATCAGAATATTGCTATAAATAGCATTGCTATAAGCTACAATTAAGTTTTCTGCATTAGAACGTAAAACAATATTATATTTCCTATTGGTTTGCACATCCTACAATGCATACAAATGGCATTATAAAAGACGTCAACCACACAATATGCAATTAAATGTATTTATGGAAATGTTATGGGCTTTGCTTGACCTCCTGTGATTAACACGAGAACATAATACAGGGTGGAAACAATAAGTGATCTCACTCGATTATCAGTGCCGTATTATCCATAAGGCACTTTAGGCCAGTGCCTAGGGGCCCACTATGACCAGGGGCCCAGCACTCCCGATTAAAAAATGAAAAAAAAAAATGTTTAAGATTATTTTTATGCAACAAAACTCAAACCACCTCAAAACATCGCCTTATTTTGATTTACACATTCAATCTAGTCCAGTCAATGAATGCCTTAACGACGGTGTAGAGAGAAATCCGTGGAACACAATTTCTGACCTCGGGACTTTATTTTTTCCTAGTTAGGTGGTGAACATAGCAAAAGTCCCCGCCCTTAGCCCTTGAGCCGGCGGGGAGAGGGGGGTTTAAAGGTACCACTTTTCGGTTTTTCGCTTAATCCTCGGAAACTATGCGTCCTAGTGACATGACTACTATGAACCAAAAAAAGCTTATTCAATTTGCTACAGGTGAGACCGTCAAGTTTTTCTATATCTTGTATAGTTTTTGCGGCATCTGCTCTAGAAGGTCTGTAAAATTGGAAATTTTATTGTTGTCTTACATGTTCCTTTCAGGAGAAAATCGACTAAATCAACATTGAGCAAACACTATAGACATGCGGGAGCATGTTAAGCCTAGTTCCATGGAGGGGACTGCACCGTGCGTATATTTAGACGAACCAATTA